CAATCACGCGCTGCAGTGGCAACGAGGCTCGGCTCAAGCGTCCAGCAATGCTGTCATGCCAAGACGCTGAATCAAGAACCACTTGCGGGTCGGGCGGGGCCCTCGTCTTCGGGCCTTTCCTCCGAGGGGGGGAGCCTGTTCTTGGTCAAGGCTCGCCGTGGCCAGAAGAGCCTACTCATTGCTTGTTCGGCGTCCCTAGCAGTAGATCGCTGGCTGTAGTTATTTGCCAGGGTCTGGGGGAAGGGAGGAGGAGGAGGAGGAGGAGGAGGAGAACGACGACAGGCAGGGGTAGGAAGAGGAGGAGCACGAGGAAGACAGGGAGGAGGAGGCAGGAGCTGGAGGAGCGATCAGCGCGAGTCAGCGACTGCAGGCGAGGCGGACGGGCCAGGATTATGAGCGGGGAGGCCACATATCTGCATGCACGGAATGGGTACAGAAAATATGGGTACAATGCCCAACAGCAGTTCCTGTTCATCTTCAACAGGACTCGCTGTCCGCGCAGCCGCGGCCTGTGTCCACTTGAGACAGAAGGCCGCCTGTCCAACAGCGGCCGCTGTCGGTTTGGGACAACATTTGTTGTTGGGCATTGTACCCATTTTTTCCGTACCCCTTTCGGGCGTCCAAAACAGAGCAGATTGCTCTTGTCCCGCCCCGCCAGGTGCCCGGGTATCCCGACGCGGCGCAAGACGCGGTCTCCCGCCTAGCCGCGGGCGTGAGCAGACCGCACCGGCTTGACTCTCGGCGGGGCGCGACGAGGACGTGGGCGGACGCGGAACCCACTGGCAGGGCTGGGTCGGGGAGTTAAGGACGGACTACGGCGAGGCACGTTCCATCGGCGTCATACGCAGCAGCGCGTCTCATGTATTCAAGGGCGCCCTCGACGGCGCGAAGTTATTCGTGCTTCGCGGTTCGGCTCCGATTCCTCCTCATCCTCTTCTTCTCCCCTGGGAGGCGGCGCGATTGGGGGATTATCCACTGGCAGGGGAGGGTCGGGGAGTTATCGGGGGGGGGGGTGATCACTAGGGGGGTGATCACTAGGGGGTGGTGGATATCATGGCGTGGGCCATGATTTTTCCCCAGATTTCATGGCGCCTCTTCTTATTTCGTTACGTCTCCAGCCCCCCCCCCTGGGCCGCGCACGTGCCGTTGGCCATGATTTGCATCCCCCCCCCTCTTGGACGCCCCCTTCTTTGCCGCCCCCGAAGTTAAGGATGGACTACGGCGAGACACGTTCCATCGGCGTCATACGCAGCAGCGCGTCTGATGTACCTCCCCCCTGATTTCGGCCATGCTTGGCCTGGGCCTGGGGTGGACCAGAGGTGGGGAGAACGGGAGGTACCATGGGAGGTGCTTGTTGGCGGAGGATGGTCAAAAGGACACGCGTGGTGTTGTGTTGTTCTGCGCTCGACTATGCTTAGCCAGGACGTTCGCATCTCGCAGGTAAGAAAAGAAACAACTGAAAGATGATTGCCTGCTGCCGCGTTCGAGCTACCACTTTTGAAGCCCCCCCCCGCCGTGGTCCTGGTTGTCCATATCGCCGGGAATCCCGCGCGAACCTGGTTGCACACGATACACATCTTCGCGGGAGGCAGGGCTGGACAGGCGTTCCGTCCGTTTCTCCTCTTCTTTCTTCGGTTGCCTTTTCGTCTTCCTCCTTTTTGTTCTCTGTATTTTCATATGTGTTGTTATTCTCTTCCTAGTGTGACGAAGACGCTACCCGGGTCTTCTCCTCTGAGGCTCCTTCTCTTTCCGCGTCTTCATGGCTTAGTCTGCTACGCAAAAAGTTTGAGCGCAGCAGGTGCGATACAGGCGTGCCGTATGTGGATTGCGGACACTTCCACTGATACAGTGTTACCCGTCGGTCGTTGAAAGGATGTATTTCTGGGCCCCCGAATCCCAATCTACTCCAGGCGCCTTCCTACATCAGCGATTGTACATCTTCCTTCCTCTTCAGGGGGGCGGGTGGAAACCCAATCTAATTACAACGCCTTCCTACTTCAGATTTCTGCCTACTTCTTTCGACCCGCGGCTGGAGGACAAGAGCGCCCTTGCGCGGCGGTGTCTCCGCGATCGTGTTCAGATCGGTCCTCTCGTCGCGTGCATCGGCGGGAGAACCTCGTGGAGCGGGGTTGTCGCCCTGGTTGGCGGGACTGTTTGGGGGCCAGCGAAGGTGATGGTCGGGGCCCCTGCGGGTCCTTTTGGCGCGGTCGTGGGCGTATAAAGCGATTGAGTGAGCACGATAGGATCTGAGAGCATCTGGGCCGTCTGACATTCGTCGTGGGCGCTTCTCTGGCCATTGCGGATGTCGTATCGGGCCGTCTGAGGCGTCACGTGGCCTTTTCGGGGCCGTCTTGCGGGCCTTTGCACCATCGTAGGGCCCTGTTGCGTCGTCTTGCGTCTCGTGGGGCCGTCTTGGGGCAGTCCCAAGGCGGTTGTCTGGGAGTGGTGTTTCTGTTTGGGCGGTCTACAGCCTTCTGGGGGCTCTCGTGCCGCTCTTGGGCCCAATCGTCTTGGGGCGATTCGGGGGGCCGCATGGGCCGTTGTGGACGGTATGGAGCAGATGGGTCCGCCGGGCCCTTTCGAGACTCCAAACAGGCCAGACTTGGCTCTCGGTTCCGAGTGGCCAGCGATGTTTTGTCAATTGTGATGTGTTGGATGCCGCTATCAAGAGCTCCTTGCAACAATTTATATAAGCCGGTCTCCTCTCCGTTGATCACTTTTGCACATGCTGGGCAAGGCGAGCACGCACATCTTGTCCAGAGAAGGCGCGACGATCGTCACCTTGTTCCTGCTCTGGTCACGCCCGCCTCCACGACTCATGGCATGCCTGTGCCGTCAACGTCACGCAGATGTTTAAGACATGGAACAAAGCGTTCCTTGTTTCCCACAATTGCGCAGAGGCATGTGAGGATCGCCCAAGAAGACCATAAGGAATCCCTGGAGAACCCAGAGCCCGATCCGAAGCCACAGTGGTCCTATAAACAGGACTTGGGGAGCGTCGGGGAGACAACCCTCACGGTGGGCGGTGACCAGGAGGCTGGTGGGGACGTTTTTTCCGTCGCGGCCGCAAGCGGAAGCGCAGGCGGCGTCCGAAGTCAGCCTGGACTACGAGCCAAACCTAATTACCTTGACCCACTCACACTCCGACTCGCTCACGCTCAGATTACCCACGCTCAGATTCACCCGCGTAGAGGCTCACACGCGCACGAGTTGATACCGCGATGCAGCTGGCGTGACGCTTGGGCACCCCAAGCGCCAGCAGGCGCGCCGCGAGTAGCACGCCAGACAGCGGGCGTAAAGACGCCATGCGCGCTTGCCTGAGTTGCCGCGGGGAGACCAGCGAGAGGAGTTCCACCTCGCTCTTCCACTTGTGTTCCCCTCGTGTCACCTGAAAAATGTCCAGAAGAAGAAGAAGACGTCACCGAAGTCGTTGCTATCGTCGTCATTGCCGCGCCCGTTGTCTGCACGGATTCGCTCTTACACCCGGATTATCACAGACAGAGCCCTTCAGCGGAACGTGAGAGGAGGAGTATGATCCGCACATATCGGGACTTCCGCGTCGAGTAATTATAATGTTGTTTTTTTAGTTTGGCGCTCGGGAAACCCACTAAAGACCGCCCGAAACTCTCCCCCTACCCCCACCCCCGTGGCCGGGACCCCTGCTCCCACTGAGGGGGGGTTCAGGGGTTTTCCAGGGGGTATCGAAGACGCCTACGGCGACTCACCGTCGCCCCCTTTTAGAATCACCCTTGAGGCCGAGCGTTGTGGCAAGAGGTCTGCCAAGCGATCGGACCATGTGTTCCCGAAACCGTTGTGGAAACCCTTCGGGGAACATTTGGGGGAGGCTGGCGGGGAAGATCAGGAGGAGGCGGAGGAGGAGGAGGTTGAGAAGGAGGAGGAGGAAGAGCAGGAGGAGGAGGAGGAGGAGGAGGAGGAGGAGGAGGAGGAGGTGGAGGAGGAGGAGGAGGAGGAGGAGGGGGCATCTTGGGGACACTCTTGGGGCCTCCTGGGAGCTTCCTGGGAGCCTCTTGGAGGCATTTTGGGGGCTTCACGGGGCCTCTCTGGCCGTCTTGGTGGGCTCCTGGTCCGTCTGACGCCGTCGGAAGCCGTCTAGAGGGCCTCTCTGGGCCGACTTGGGCCATCCTTGGGCGTCTTAGAGGCCTCTTGGGCCGTCTTGGGGCCCCCTTGGGGCTGTCTTGAGTCTTGAGGACCTCGTGTGCAGTCCTGAGGCCATCTTGGGGGCCTCTTGGGCGATCTTGGGGCCGCCTTGAGGGCCTTTTGGGCCGTTCTGGGGCCATCTTGGCGGCCTCTTGGGCGATCTTTGGGGCGATCTTTGGGGGCTCTTGGGCCGTCTCGGACCGTCGAAAGGCAGACAAAAAACAAATACCCACATCTCTCAATCATCTACGGGCATTTTTTTGATTTTGGCCTCTTCGGGCCGTCCTGGAGGCCCCTTGGAGGCCTCTTGGGCCGTCTTGGGCCATCTTGGAGCCATCTTGGGCCGTCTTGATGGGCTCCTTGCTTGGGGCCCTATGGGGTTCTCCTGTGAGGTTCTCCAGGGCCGTCTTGGAGGCATGCTTTGGCGTCTTAGAGGCCTCTTGGGCCGTCTTGGGGCCCTTTTGGGGCTGTCTTGAAGGCCTCTTGGGCAGTCCTGAGGCCATCTTGGGGGCCTCCTGGGCGCTCTGGGGGCAGTCTTCGGGGCTTCTTGGGCCGTCTCGAGCCGTCGGAAGGCCGAACAGAAGCAAATACGAAGATCCATCAAAAACCCAAGGAACGCCTCGTCGGGCCCTCCTGGAGGACATCACGGAGGCCTCTTGGGCCGTCTTGGAGGCTTCTTGGGCCGACTTGCATGGGCCGTCGTGGAGGCCATCTTGGACCACATTGGGCGAACTTGGAGGCCATCTCGGGCCATTTGAGCCGTCTTGGAGGCCGTCTAGGGCCATCTTGGAGCGGGAGAGGTTTTGGCCCGAAGATATTTTTGTGAACGTTGAGGTCGTGTCCGGGCCTTGTGCGGCCTTTTGCGCTCTTCCGGGTGGTCGGCGGGCTGAGCAGCACGCTGGGCACCCTTGTGATAAATCAACATGGGGCGCTGAAAGAGTGGCTCTGATACTGGGACCGCTCCTTGGCCCTTTCGCTCCCTACTGAGCTGTCCTCATGTTTGCACGATCAGCTGGGGATATCCGAAGCCTACCCCCCGCAACCATCCAGTGATCTGAATCGATGGGAGGGGGGGGGTAGGGTTGATCCGGATTTCGCCACGTGTTCGACGAATTCCGAACCCTACCCCCCCCGCCCATCGAGTTGCCTGAATTGTTGATCGGCGAGGGTATGGGGTAGGGTTCGGGTGTCGCCGCCAAGCGATGCCAGCACTCAAGCGCTCTGCCTGCAACCACGGCCGCGCGCTGGCCGAGCACTGGTGCCGGGTGCCGAGCTTCGAGCCTTGCCCGGGTGCCCGCGCGAGCGCGCGGCGCCCTCGCAGGTCTGGACCCCCCAGGAGGTGGCGGAGGTGGTGCTCCACGAGGCCTCCCGTCCGCGCGCGGGAGGAGGGGGGGGGAGGGCCGTGGAGTCGGCTGGGGGTCTGAGGTGGCTCCGCACTGGTTCTGGCCGGCAGGACGGGCGGGCAGGATCGAGGTTCTGGATCCGGGACGTGTTCTTTTGTTGTTGCTGAGTTTCTTGGCTCTATAGGGGCCGCTGTCGGGCCCCAAGACAGTGAACCATTGATCCGGGGTGGAAAATTGTGATCGTTTTCTTGTTCATTGTTTTGCCGATCGGCGCGGGCCCTCGCATCACCCCCCTCCCCCCCATGGAGTATGTCTTGGCTGCTTTTGGCGCCTGTTTCGAGCAGGTGGAGTCTCCCCCATGGGACGTACTTTCGCAAACAGTCGCATTTAGCAGAGGTCCGGAGCCAGACCCCACCCACTCCCCACCTTTCCGCCCACTGTCGAAACGCCGAATAAGGAAACGCTAACATTGCATTAGATGGACCCCTGGGAGGGGTCCCGGGACCGACCTTGAGGGCTTTGGCCTTATCTCTCCCCCCCTCCTGACTGATCTTCTGGGGTCCCAGCCAGTGCAGACCCCCCGGCCGCCTCCAAGCAGGACCCGGACCTCTGGCGCCTCGAACGAACTCGCGCCAGGGTTCGCCATCTTCCGTGCCTGGAGATAGCTTCGGGGCCAACGGGCTCAGGATTCGATTCTCGGCGCTGTATTCGTGGTCGATAACCAGCACGGTCCCGTCGAATTGCGCCGAGTCTCGCCAAATCCAGCTCAGTCGGGCTGAATTATGGGCCCAATCCTGGCTAATCCGGCTGAATGGCCTTTTCATCGGGCGCAACAGTCTTCAAGTGTTGTTACGACGAAGCTCCCAGGAGTTGCTTTCTAAAGTGGCGTCAAGGCGACTCCGTGTGAAAAAGGGTCCTTATTAATGGGTCCGAGAGCTTCAGGAGCCAGCACCCCGTCGTCGGAGGTCCGCGGCTGGAGGAGCTTGCAGAGGGTCCCCCTTCGCTCGAAGGACAAAAAGCGGCATAAGCATGAGAACCTGCAGTGTATGCTTGTGTGTTCATTGTTTCCCTCTAGGAGGGGAGGAGGGAGGCATTCTTCGCAGGTGACATCGTTGAATATGTGCAACGGTCTCAGCGGCCGCTCGGCAGGCACGTCGATGATATTTCGTCCTGCTCAAGATTTATGTCCATACCCTCTGCGTCTCGGATTCTGCAGGCTCCTCACCTGGAAACCCGAGACGCAATGGACATGGACAGAATCTGGCGTTCAGAGGCAATATTTGTATCTACTTCCACGGCCTCTCGGGTTTCTGGCATCCCTTCGCCAGAATCCAAGACGCCGTGGATACGGATATGCATTCTGCCCGCAGGCTTTGCCGCCCCGACCGCCCACTCCTGCTCAGTCTCGCTCCTCCATGCTCTCGTTTGCCCTCCTCGTGCGGGTTGTGACTCCGTCCTTCTCTGGAGTTGGCAACGACGTGCAACTGCAGCAGTCCAATCATGCGAGGCTCCCTTGTGTTGCTGCGGCGCGAGGAGAATATAGGATCACTCGGAGGAGGTGGGAGGGGATGAGCATGATGAGGAGGACTAGATAGATGGAGATGAGCAGGATTGGAATGACATTGAAACGTAGAGTCAGGGGAAGAGTATCTGAGACAGGATAAGGACAATTTTCGTAACACTGGAGGGGCGGTTGGGGTATGACCAAGCGTGCGCGCCTGGACGGGCAGAGGGCCATACGTTCTCGTAATAAAAGTATGTGTCGGAACTTAGAAGTGAACAGTAGGAAGGGAAACATGAGAAGGATGATGCCGGGTGGGCGTAGAAGAGAGAGAGAGAGAGAGACAACAATGAAGAAAGGGAGAACGAGAGAAAGAGACAGGCAGAGTGAGAGAGAGAGAGATGGCGAGGGCATGGATGAGGCCATGGAGTAGGGTAACGGAGGAGGACGACGACGACGAGGACGACGACGAGAAGGAGGCGGAGTAGCAGCGGCATCATCTGTTACAACCTGATGCGTGGGCCTCGCCAATTGATTGCGCAAGCGCATCATGACTTATCGGAGGGCGTGGCCTTCGATCTCTTTGTCAACCGATGAGGGTAGTACGATAGTATCGGGGGAGGAACACGAGAGGGTAGCGGAAGAACAGAGAGGAGAAGGGGGGAACGACCCGGGGGGAGGGGGGGGCGGCAGGCAAGCCAGGTGCGTTCGCGCCACATATTTGACATCCCCCCAGCCGCGGCGCAGCGTTAGCGCTACAAAGTGGCACAAACACCCGTATGTCCTTCACAACGGAGCCTCCATCACTCGAAGAAGAAAAATATTCAGATGAGCTTCCGGAGGTCCGCGCGGATTTCTTGGAGCGGCTCTGAACCTCGCTCCCTTGCTCGCGGAGCGCGCAGGGGGCGGCGCAGAAGGCGCCGCCAGGAGGCTCCAGCGCAGATCCAAGAACTCTCTGCGGAGCTCCGAAAGTTTCTATTTATGCGTTTGTTCCCCCTCCAGCCACAATTTTCGGTGAACATGGGCGTTCGAGATCGTCAACATCGCTGTTTCAAAACGTGATGTTCTTCACGTCGAACCTCAGTCTCCCTTCCGCGTTTCATCTGCGTCCTCGTCGTAGTCAGTCGCCTCCAAATTTCTCCTCACTTCGGGAAGGCGCGACACTCCCATTTTCCGCCGAGACATATGTCCAGATGACACAGTTGGGTTCACAACATTCAGTCGTAGGATGGGATGGCATGGCGGGCTCAAAACAGCTCTAAGACGACACAATGCTTCCTTTGAGCTGTCAGAAGCACACGAAAGAAAAGCCAACCCCAGCGGCCCATTACCCTTGAAGGCAGTTGTTGAACATCCCAGGTGCGCCAAGTTGGTCTCGAGAGGGTTCGAAGCAGGCCCATAATACTAACATGTTGTGCGCTTGTGTATAGATGTATATATGTATGCACCCAGCTGCCTCCAGCAATTCCGCCACCATGCTGGCGCAGCATTCTAGGTGGCAGCGACTCGAGAAGGCAAGGGGGCTTGCCGTGGGCCTCTTGGGACAGAAGCTTCGAATTATGGGTTCGTGTTCCCTCTCTTACTCCCTTCTTGGGGCCCCCTTGGGCAGTCGTGACGCCTCTTGGGTCGTCTTAGAGCCCCTCTTGGGCCGTCTTGGAGCTCTCTTGGGAGCCTGTTGAGCCATTGGAATCGCTACTTGAGATCAGTGGTGTTTGCCTCTTAGGGGGCCTCTTTGGGCCCTCTTGGGGCCTCCTGCGGGGCGGAAGGCTCGAATTGTCGGTTCGTGCTCACCCTCTTTAGCCCTTCTTTGGGCCGTCTTGGGTCACGTGCTTTTGGCGCCTCTCGGGCCGTCTTGGCGCCCCCTTGGGCCGTTTTTGGGCCTCTTGAGGGCTTCTTGGACCGTCTTCTTGGGGCAGTCCTGGTGGCCTCGTGGGCCGTCTTGAAGCCATCTTCGGCCGTCTTGGAGCGCTCTGCGGCCATCTTGGCGGCCTTGGTGGCCTGCCTGGGCCGTTTCGGAAGCCACCTTGGGCATCTCGGACGCCTTGGAGAGCGTCAGGAGGGTGCGAGGCAACCCAGCGAGCCTCGGGGAGAGGAGACCAATCAAGGAAGCGCGTCCCGAGGCGGGGGCTTGGGAAGGTACAGAAACCCGGCCAGCCAGGCCTAGGCATTCTTCCACGCCTGTCCGTGTTCAAGGCAACGTGGCGGAGAGGCACCGTGGCCCTTGATCGGCCTCTGGACGGAGGCGCGTCGCTGTCTTTGACGTTTTTGAGACGTCCAGCCTTGCAGAACATATCCATATATAGATATATCTATAATGTATATATGTACACCGTTATAGAGACATGTATGTATGCAGGCATGCATAGTTTTACGTATGTGCGAGTGTACGTGTGAAAGTATGTGTATAGTTATCTGTCTGGCTGGCTGTATGTCTGTCTGTCTGCCTGTCTGTCTGTCTGTCTGTATGTATGTATGTATGTATGTATGCACGTATGCACGTATGCACGCAAGGGCATGCACTTGTGTACGTACACATGTCTATGTGTGAATGTGTGAATGTGTGAATGTGTGTATGTGTATGTGTGCATGCATGTATGCATGCATGTATGCATGCATGTATGCATGTATACATGTATGCATGCACGTGTGCAACATTGAATGCATGCATACATGCATGTATGCATGTATGCATGTACGTATCTACGCGTGTACGTGCTTATATATATGCATGTAGGTATGCTATGTCTATGTCTATATATATATATATATATATATGAGTGCACGTATACATGTGTGTATGTGTGCGTATGCGTATGGTTGTGCATTTGCATGCATGCATGTATGTATACATTCAGTCATGCATGTATGCGTGTATGTGTGTCTGGATGTATGTATGAATTTATGTACGTATGGATGTCTAGATGTATGTATGCACACAATGTATGTTTGAATGCGCACGTACATCAATGTATACACGTATGAGTTTACGTATGCATGC